CAGCAGCTGCTGCTGCTGCTGCAGCATCATCTGGGCAATCGCTGTCGTTTTGCTGCTGCTGCTGCTGCAGCTGCTGCTGCAGCGCTGCTGCAGCCTGCAGCAAACGACGTCTGAGTTGAAAGACACAGGGAAGCTCAACAGCAGCAGCAGCTGCCTGTACACCCGAAGATAGCTGCTGCAGCACAACACCCTGCAGCGCCTGGTGTCTCCGCAGCTCCCCCCTAGACCCCCGGTGCAGCACGAGGATCTCACCCATCATCCTGCTGCTGCTGCTGCTGCTGCTGCTGNCTGCTGCTGCTGCTGCTGCTGCTGCTGTTGCTGCTGTTGGTATCAGGGTCGCTGTTGCTGCAGCAGACAGAGGAATCCGTGCACTCATTTTGCTGCTGCTGCTGCTGCTGCAGCGGGGCTGACGGCCTCATCTTTTTGCTGCAGCTGCAGCAGCAGCTGCTGCTGCTGCGTCTATGGGATATATGGCGTGTGGCTGCTGCTGTGGCTGCTGCTGCTGCTGCTGCTGCTGCTGTTGCTGTTGCTGCTGTTGGTGCTGCTGCACGCAGTAGATTGCTCCAAAGCTAAACCCTAAACACTAGACCCTAAACCCTAAACCCTAAACCCTGATTGGTGAGCAGAAGCGGTAGCATGCTGAGGGTAATGGCTGCAGTTGCTGCAGCAGCAGCGTGTGCTGCAGTGGTTGTTGCTGCTGCAGTTGCTGCTGCAGTTGCTGCAGCAGCAGCAGCATAGTCGTCGGGGTGTATATTCACTGCGATGACTTGCTGCTCCTGTACCTGTGTTTGTTTATTTATCTTTTAGGGTTTAGGGTTTAGGGTTTGGGCTTTCTTCTGCGCTTGTTTGCCTCTTTTTTTTATTTTTTTATTTTTTTATTTTTATTTTTATTTTTGTTGTTCTGTCTGTCTCCTCATCTTTCTCTGTGTTGCTTGCGTCTGTCTCATCGCTAAATAATTAACTAATTTATTTATTTATTTATTTATTTATTTTTTTATTTTTTTTATTTTTTTATTTTTTTTTTTGTCTCTCTCTCTCTCC